TTATCAAAGAAATCCAGGGTAAAACTTGTTAGCCAAGGTGCCAATGAGTGTCATGTCTGGAAACGAGGCTAGAGGCCAGGCAAAGCCAGAGTAGAGGGTCGCTCTGTGCTTCCTATGTGTCGCCCCATGCCCCTGTGGCCCCGGATCTGGTCCCATTTGCCTATCTTCACCAGCACCCCTGCAAGAACGTCCCTCTCTGCCTTCGGAGTCCCAGACACGGTCCTATTATCTCCTCAGGTCACGTATGAGGTAACAGAGGGATGGGCTGGGGCCGGGGGAAATGCAGTAAGGGAACAGGAAGGAGTCACTGACTACTCCCAGGCCTATTCCTGCCTCAGCTGCCTTGCCTAGGTCCCACTTCTCCAAACATTTTTGGCCATAAATAACCTAGCCACCACCGAGGGACATAGAGAGAGCATCCCAACACACAGGGGCTCCGGTCCAGCCCCGCTTCTGCCCTCAGCCACTGCCTCTGCCCGCTTGAGCAGATACCCTAATCAGACCTGTCCTGGGAGCAGCAGAGGAAAGTCATAATGGACAATAGAGACACAGGATGATGTCACAGGGACAAAGGTACATCAAGCAGGTGCAGGGCCAGCTCGGGCTCATTCCCTCATTTGCACGAGAGGAGCCCCTAGCCAAAGCATTTCGTGGAAATGTCCAGGAAGCTCCCTCGCATTGTCCCCAATCTTCCCCGCCTTCTCCCGCCTCTTTTTGTTCCTACTGACACTCCTTCAACCCGCTGTCCTCCGCTTGGCCCCCAAACTGCGAAGCCTCAGCCTCAGCCTCAGCCTCAACCTCAACCTCAGCCTCAGCCTCGTCCCAAGACCCCCAAACCCCCTTCACCTACCCAGTCTACCCGCTTTCCTGAAATCTCCAAGACTTCCCTTTCCCAGGATCCTGGCCGCAGGACGGACCGTTCCAAAACTTCCTCCCATCTTCCCAAACCACCCTCTCGCCCGCCTACTCGTCTGCCTCCCCTTAAGCCTTACTCCCACGGATTGACCAGGAACCCTCGACCTCCCCCTCCTTACTACCGCCGCCCTAACTAGTTCCTCTCCCTCCATCCTCTGGAGACTGCTCATCCTCAACGAGACCAGGGTGAGTCAAACTGCAGGCCGAGAGCTACAGTGGGTGGGTGCGCGTGGCTGTTGCCAGAATCCCGGGTATCCAAGTGTGCACTGAGTTAGTGGTCCTAGTGTCGGCAGGCTGAGGCCAAACCAGCAAAGGCTGCGGCACACAGGCTCCCTATCAAGACCGACCCCTGACCACCTCACTCTTGGACCTCACGCTCCTTCCGTGCATCCTTTCTTGTCCCAGGACAGAGGCCGCGCCAGGTGCCAGTGACCCACGTGGAGCCGGTTCCTTAAAGCACCTGAGCTTTCTAGCTCCCGTCTACACCGTCGGCCCGAGGGAGCCACAGAGGACGCTGCTCCGACCATTCCTCAGCATCCCCCGAGAACATCACTGTGAGGGACAGGGGAGCGAGAGAAGTCGGAGGATTAGAAAGGTACGGCTCATGGGCTTCTGTGGATGGAAGCATGGCAGGTCACATGCTTCGGGTAAAGGAAGCACAGAGTAGCAGGGGCAGGGGAGGAGGAATCCCAGTGCTCCAGACACCCAGAGAGAGAATACATGGAAGCTGTGTGTGTGATTACCGGCTCCTCCATAATCAATTCCCCCTCTGCGCACTGTCTTCAAGGGCCTTGCCTGGGATTTTGTTGTCTCCTGCCCATAGAGAGAGGGGCCCTACTGTTGCCCCACCCAAGTCACGAAGCCCGAGCCCCTCGCAGACTGCTGCCAAACCAAGAGGACACTTAGACAAATGCGAAAGATAAAGGGGGTCATGTCCTGATCTACCCAGAGGTAGATACAGACCACCATCTCGCCCACCTACTTGTCTGCCTTCCCTTTCACCCTACTTCCAGGGATTAACTAGGAACCCTAGATCTCCCCCTCCTTACCAGTTCCTCTCCCTTCATCCTCTGCAGACTCTGCTGCTCACCCAGACCAACTGATTCCAGCTGCAACCACTCATACATAGATCAACCAGGTGTAGGTCGTTTGCCCAGATCTAGGGGAGGCAAGTTTTTAGTGACGTGGGGGTTATAGCTGTCAGCAGGCAGAGGCCAATATCACGGCAAAGGCTGCAGTATACCTGCCCCCCTCCCTTCTTTCCTGCTAACTACCTCATCTCTGATCTCAGCTTCTCAGGCCTGCTCTTCCAAGTCTGAGGCCGAACCAGGTGGCAGAGACTCCCCTTGATCTGCTTCCGTGAAGAGCTTTCCACTTTTCAGCTCCTGCTCGGCTGGCTCAAGGAAGCCACACAGGACTTTGCTCGGACCAGTCCTCAGTGTCCACCTGGAAGGACAGTATGAGGGACACGGGAGCGAGAGAAGTCGGAGGAGACAAACTGTTTATCTAATCTTCCTATGTGAAGGGTAAGTCCAGGACACATGCTCCACCTTAAGGGAGCACAGAATAGTGGGAGGAGCAGGGGAGGAGGAATCACAGTACTCCAGATGCCCAGGGCAAATGAAAGAGAGGAGCTCGAGGAGAAGAGGGGAGAGAGGAGAGAGGAGACATAGGCTTGTTTGTGTTTACCGGCTCCTCAAAGATATCCCCATCTGCACCATGACTTCAAGGTCAAATTTGAGGGTTAATTCCCTTGAGACTCCTTCAAAAAAGGGATGGGCCCTCCTTGATCCCATTTTATCCCTGAAGCTTGAGCCTCTCTGACTACTGCTATGCTAGGAAAATGACAGGTAGCTGAATTCAAAAGGACATGTCCTGATTCTCCCCAGCTGTGGCTTCTGAGGAAGAGGATGAATATTTAGGGTTCAAGGGCTCTCTAATTGATACCTAAGTACTCTCTACTGATACACAGATTTAATGCAATCTCAAAATCTTAACAGACTAGGGACAAAGCTCAAAAAGTTTGCTTTACTATGGTAAGACCCTACATTTGATCCACAACCCTTCCAAACAATTGAAACTCTAACCTTTTGAGAGAACCCTGATCATAAATAAATATTATAGCAAAGAGGCACTAATAACACAGGTTCTCTTAAGAGTTTCGGAATAATTTCTGCCTCATCTGAGAACATATTACAACAGTCACTGTAGTGAACATAATACTGGCAAACAAAGACTAATATGCAGGCATGACTAGAATCCAGGAAGGACAGTATGAGGGACACGGGAGCCTTAGTCTTTGAGTATCTAGGTTTCTTAGAATTATACACACCAATGGAAAAAATATTAAGCTTTTCTTAGACTACATCAAAAAACCAATTGTAGGATCAGGGAGTAATTACAAGGGGAGAGGCACCTCCTTTACATTTGGCCAACCATGGCCCCATGGTCCCTTGTCGTTGCTGGGAATTCACTGAACACCCCAGCACTACCAGGTCGCGTGGGTATCCTCAGCACCAAAATGTCCTAATAATACCACATCTTCAGGTCCTTGCATTGCATCTTCAGCCTGGTTAAAGATTGCCAAGTTTTCTGAGCATCTCTTGAGGTTCCCTATAATACCTCATAGTGACTTTAATGACCCTACTCTGAGACATAACAATTTTCACGGATTTTTTTTTTACTGAAGTATTTTTTAAATAGTTCCATTATCCAAATAAAATAATTTTGTGCCTGCTAAGGAGTCAGGCTTGGACCGGGGCGGGGGGGGGGGGGTGAGTCTTGGAAAACTGCAAGGTCACACTGGTGGTGGGATTGGTGTTATTGAATTGGTGCTATTGCTGTATTGAATACCTGTAATAACTATGAACAAATTTGTAAACCATGATGTTTAAGTTTGACAAAAGAAAAAGAGCGGGGGGTGAATATTTATTGCTCAGCCGTTCTAGTTTTTGCAACCCACAATATCTAAATGTGTGGCCTGGCTGTGATTTAACGTGCATTATGATGTCATAAGCACACTTCTGACAATATAATCTCACTAAGATCTTTGTAAGCTAAGAAAGTTTTAACTTTTTAATTTAAAAAATTAGGTGAATTTCATTAGGTGAATTTCTACATAATTCTTATTTGTTGTTACAAAATGTTTTTTTTATCTTGTTTTTTAAATAATTTCCATATTAGATAGGTAAAGGTAAAGGTAAAGGCCCTCCCGTTGATCGTCGATTTGCTCGAGCGGGCCCAGTAACGTCTCCATTGGAGACTTTGTTGTTACTGTGTCTGGCATCTGGCATTAGATGGGTATCTATATTGAAAAAAGTAATCCAGAAGTTTCAAGAAATATCTGCAACTCAGAAACTGGATGAGAAGCTAGTGGGACAGACCAGTAAGTTTTCCCGTGCTCCAGTATGTTTCCAAACAACTTTCATGGTGTTGTCTGAGGCCAACATGGCCTCAGGGTTTGGAAGAATGCAGATACCCTGGAATAATCAAAGGTGAGAAGAAGCAGAAGTAACTGGAAACCTAAGAATATGAAACTAGGTGGAGAGAAGGACCAGTTAAGGCAATTCTAGCCCCTTTCACTTTTGAACCTCCACCTCAGACTTGCCCTGTGGGGTCACTGAACTAGGTTGAAGAAAGATCAGTTTGACCAAATACTTAGATTCTTGCTAGTTGTCACAGTAATAATAGTGACACTCCTTTGAAAGCTGGTTCATTTTCTTTAAGTCTTAGGAAGGTAGTGAAGACATGGGGAGGCTGAGTCTTGGTAGGACCCAGCACAACCCATAGTGACACATAACAAAGGTGTTTCTCTAGCTTAATCGGTATGGAGAGTAGAGCTTGGTATCTGGTAGGTGCTTACTAAAACCAGCTGCTGCTCTACTTCACGAGGCTACTTTTAGGCTCCTTGGAATAACCACATGGGTACAGGTATCTAGTCACTTAAGAGAAAATGTTATGTGCCAGTGGTGGTGTCAGTCCTTGGGGCAGGAGAAATAAGTTGTTTTATGGATATGAAAATGTTGTGGAAATTGGCTTTGTGTGAAGTTAATTCATTGATGATAAAAATGTCTCAAGAAGTATATTCTATGCTGTCTTTGGCTCCTTAAAAAAAAATGTTCAAATGCTATGTCATCAAGTTAGGATGGAAAGGTGGTTTCTGTCTCTACTGCCATACAGATAGTATTAATTAAAATGTCTAATTTACTCTGAAAGCTCGGCTGCTGTAAGACACCTGGGACTTGGATCTGGGCCTCTAACACGGGAGACGTTTTGATCTTTCTGAATCTCTCATAGGAACTGAACGGCCACTGTGAGCTTCATCAACAATCCAGCACTTCCGGGCTGCCACCAGCCATTGTGTCCTTATTGGGCAGTGGAGGAGGGGTGTCCCAGTAACCAGGCAAGGTCTTGAGAAGCTTTGGGGGTCCTGGCGGTGGAGAGGCCTGCCAGGAGAAGTGAGCTCTCAGTGAGTTCAGATTTCTAGGACTTTGTTGCCTGCACACCACGTGGGTCTCTGTTGCCTAGAGACAACGTGGTACAAAGCAGCTACTTAGCAACATGGGACTTTGGAGAAGGCTTGAAGGCCTGGCACCAGCAAGCCTGGCCAGCAAGTGAGGGAGCAGGAACAGACAAAAGCGGGGACGAAGCCATGGCGGGACACCCGGGAAAGGTGGTCCAGGATGAGGTTAATAAGAATCAGATCTTGCGTGAACTTTACCTCAAGGAGCTCCGAACCCAGAAACTGTACACGGAGTATCATGTGAATCCTCTTCGCAAGGGTGAGGAGCTTGGCTGGGTTGTTCAGAGGTGAGAGTGGGGGAGCAGAGCGCCCTGGGAACAGGCAGTTACCTGGCTATGGGGCAGAGCACAGCGGAAGCCTCGCCATCACCCCATTTTCCTACTTTCGAGACTTTGGGAACTAGGGTTTACAGGGTGGGGGTGGTTCCACTCCCCACACGTTACATCAACTATGTTAGAGATGTTACAATAGACCCAGGTAGTGATTGTACGATTTTGTAATTGAAAAGTGTGTAGGTTTTTGGGAGGGGTTCCAGGAACTGAACCTGGGCCGACCACATAGAAGGCCAGTGCCCTGCCCATTATACCATCTCTCCAGCCCCAGGAGTTAGTGTTTAAATGGAATTTTGTGGTATTGTTGTTTTCCAGTTCACACAATTACTAGAAAGCCCATGTCTTGGCATGATGCGCAGGAGGAAGCAGCGGATGGTAAGTCCTGGGGATGAGAAAGATTTGATGGAAAAACCTAATCTATCCTCCAACCTCTCCTCTGCCCTGCTACCACCTTAGAGTAGAATCACTGGAAAAAGGGAGAGGTTTTCGGGTGCGGTGCTGGGGCCACAGTGCTCGGGGCTTACTCCTGGCTCTCTGCTCAGGGATCACTCCTGGTGGGCTCGAGGAACCTATGTGGTACCGGTGATCCTGCATGCAAGACAGTGCCTTACCACTGCACTCTCTTCTCAGCCTCAAACTTGTGAGGGCAAATGCTGAACTTAAGGCTTTTTCCAGTCCTTAATTTGTGAAGTTAAAGCCCTCTGGGCCGAGGCAGCTACACCTCTTCGAAGAGGGGTGCCCGCTCCATTCACCTGCTTCCTGTTCCTACTCCTGGGCAGAGCAGAACTCTGGTGGCTGAGCACTCTGGTGGCTCTTCCTGAGGGTGGCTCCTGGCTCCTGCTCAGTGTCCAGAAAGGCCCCTTCCCTCAGCCTCCTCAGCCCAGGCCACACGCCTCCACAGTTCCCTTCTCCCTCTGCCCGTAGAATCGAGGACAACACTTACAATTCAATCATGGAAAGGCTAGATCCGGCATGCTCACAGGCCCCCGATTATCTGAGCAGGGCAGGATGGGAGGAGCCTGTGAGGGATGCAGTATGTTCATTAAGTATACTCAGAACTCACAGGGTGGGGCCTTTTCAAAACACTTCAGACTTGTCAGTTGACTTATTAGTGTTTGTATACCAGGTTGGTTTGTATACTTGTACCCTCATGTACACACACACACACACACACACACACACACACACACACACAGAGGCCTCAAGCTCTCGAAGAGAAAGGCCTGTATCTGCCTGAGTTGAGTCTAACTCCAGGGCCCAGAATGAGGCTGTACAACAAAGTCTGTGTCCATTGGCCAGGGCACTCTGCCCCTGAAGAATAATGAGGCTGAGAAAAAAACCTAGCATTGTATTCTGGTGTCCCAAAGCCTGACTGGTACTAACTCACGCTCTTATCTCCCAGACATGTTTCTCCAGGTCATTCATGCCGCCCAGGAAGCAAGGAAGAAACACCAGGAGACGCGGACTGAAAGCCAAGAAATCGGGTGGGAGGCCAAGCCCTTGGTGAGTGGCTCCTTTACTGAGGCGGCTCAGAGTCATGACCCCTTGGCCTGGATTCCAGGAATCTCACCTAGAGAGTAATTTTCAAGTGTTCCTCTGTCCCACAATTGTCCTCATCTCTACACTTCTCTTCTCTGCCACAGGCCTTCCAGCCCATCTGCCCACCCCAGGCTGTGCCCCAGGGCTGCCTATGGAGACTGGAATAGAGGGCACAGAGCTTAGGTCTGACGGGGAAGAGAACATAGCCATTGCATCATCTGAAGAGGAGATTGCAGACAGAGGCAGGGAGTGGATGCCAGAAGGCGTCCCACCGCAGACAAAAGGAGGGGTGAATCCAAAGGGGAGACAGGCATGATGGGAGAGAAGAGGGACGGAGTCAAAAAAGAGAAGAGAGACGGGTTCTAAGTCAGCGAGTCGGGGAAGGGAGGAGAGCTTGAGAGGATGACCACGGCGAAGATGAAACGCATCCTTAGCAAACCGTTGTAAAACAGAAAAACTTCAACTGACTAGTCTTGAAGAGTTTCTTGAAGAGAAAAAGCCTGATGCTGTTTGCACTGGATCTGCTAGTTGAAAAATACTGCACGCTTCTGGCAGGCCCCTCCCGCCCTGCCCTGCTCAGATAACTGGGTGCCCCATCAGCATCATTATGAAATTGCAAAAGGTCGGTGAGCATGCCAGATCTGTCTTTTCTATTACTGAGTCGTAAAGGCTGTCCTCTGTTTCACAAATAAGGTTCCACAAGGAAAAATCCCTGGGAGTAGTCCCTGATTTGAGCACAAGTCCTTTCTTCAACCCCCAGTGCCCCTTCCCCTGCCCACCCCCTTCTCCACAAGTTACTTTCTGACACCAGTGTTCACCTCTAGGTCAACCCACATCGAGATGATCGCAGACTGAACCACTTCCGGGTCTACCAAGACATCACTCTTTACAAGGCTAAAATGTGGAGCCTAGGGGAAACTGATTACCACAAGTAGAATTGCTATCGGTGGTATCGACAGCAGCGGTGGACAATACATGTGTCCTGCCCAGAAAAATAAAGAGACTAGATCTGACTTCCTGAGTTTACATGTCTCGTGTCTGCACAAATCCACTAGTTATGCCTATTTGTTATAATTCAGAGAGATACCTTGGACACAGAAGGGGGAGCGAAGTCATAATGGGCCCGGGGATTACAGTGAACAGTGGGACTCTAACCCATTCAACAAATGATTCAAAACATGGGATTGCATTTACACTCTAAAACAGCATTCTAAAATGCCCATTGAAATTCCACAAGTTAATTTTTACTTATGTTTAAAATAAGATATAATTTACAGTGCTGGGGCGATAGCACAGCGGGTAGGGCGTTTGCCTTGCATGCAGCCAACATGGCCAACCCGAGTTCGATTCCTCTGCCCCCTCGGAGAGCCTGGCAAGCTACCGAGAGTATCTTGCCCGCACGGCAGAGCCTGGCAAGCTCCCCGTGACGTATTCGATATACCAGACACAGTAACAACAAAGTCTCCAACGGAGACGTTACTGGGCCCGCTCGAGCAAATCGATGATCAACAACGGGAGGGCCTTTACCTTTACCTTACAGTCATACATCAGAAAGGGAGACGAGGATATGGTGCCGCCAACAGGCCAACCTGTACGTGCGGGGCATGTGCATCAGCAGCCTGATGGTGCCTTCAGGTTTCCTGATACCCCAAAATTGCTGCTGTGCCTTTGTCCCGGCCCCAACAACTTGGGACCAAGCTTACCAAGAAATTAAAAGGTAAAAATTCAGGTCTGTGGGAGCCACACCCACCAACCACCTCCGGCTCAACTATGAAAGCTCATTTACTGGCCTTATTTCAGAGACCCACAGATAAGTCTCAAAAGAGACCAAAAGCTTCATGATACACTAACTCCAGCAGCTCTGCAGAGAAATGAGTTACGTCCCACTGCCCGCTGCCCTGCAGCTCCGCCATATTCTGTCGGGTCTGGTGATGGATCTGGATGGCCTCTCCCGATGGTCCTACGCAGACAAAAATCCACCTGAACATGGCTGAACAGACCAGGGTAAACTGGAGGGGGGGTGGGTTGGCCTGTGCCCGCCCAAGCAGAGCCCCTAGCAGCCACATGCTTCCCATAACCCAAAATCACTGCTATATCCCAGACCTGACTCCAGTGTCTCAGGACAGAGCTCGCCAAGATATAATCTGTTGAAAATTCTGGTATGTGGGTTTTGTGACTGAAATCTCCAAGCTTTCTCGGAGTTGAGATGGGCTACCTTCCCCCACTTCCTAAAACTCATGGAAGTACTGGCAGTCATCCCCACCCACACACACACACACCCGAACCAACTCCAGCACCACCGTGTAAGCTCTACTACCAGCCTTGCTTCAGAGACCTATAAAATCTCTCAAGAGATCAAAAGCCGCAGTTAATCTCAGACCCGCATGTGACTGAACAGACTGGGGTAAGTAGGATGGGGCAGGGTGGCCTGTGCCTGCCCAAGCAGATCCCCCAGCAGCCGCTTGCTTCCACAATCCAAAATCGCTGCCACACCCCTGGCCCGACTCCATCTCAGGATGGACCTCACCAAGACACCTGAACATGGCTGAACAGACCAGGGTAAACTGGAGGGGGGGTGGGTTGGCCTGTGCCCGCCCAAGCAGAGCCCCTAGCAGCCACTTGCTTCCATAACCCAAAATCACTGCTATATCCCAGACCTGACTCCAGTGTCTCAGGACGGAGCTCGACAAGATATAATCTGTTGAAAATTCCTCACCAATCTGCTGAAAATCTGGGTATGTGGGTTTTGTGACTGAAATCTCCAGGCTTCTTCGGGGTTGGGATGAACTACCTCCCCCCCTTCCCTGTACTTGGAAGCCTCAGCAGTCACAGCCATACCTCAAAGCTTCCACCCAGCTGAAGAGTTACTCCAGCCTTACCATTCCAATAAAAATATTGAATGCCCGGAACAAACACTATGACCTCTTAGCACCTGTGTTGCAAGCCATAAGGCACAAAAGGAAAAGGAGAGAGAGCAAGAAGGAAAGTGCCTCCCAAGGCACTGGGGACGGGGGTGGGAAATGTGCACTGATGGAAGGATGGGTGCTGGATCATTGTATGGCTGAAACCCATTTGTGAACAGCTTTGTAATGGTCTACCTCATGGATATCCAACTAAAAAAAGTTTTTTTTAAAGTAATGTGGAGTTCATGCCCAATTCAATTAGCTTAATCAATGGCTGAATAAATAGCAGTACTCCTACATTAAAAAAAAAAAGAAAAGAAGAAAGGGAGACAGATACATCACAAGGGAGCAAATTGTTTCTTTTCTTAGCTCAGGATCAGGGCACTTTCCTAGCATAGCAGATTGCTTTACATGAAACCCATGTAGTTAGGGAGCTGCAGAGTCAGCACAGATGGCTGCTCTTAAATTTCAGGGTCTGACACTGGCATTTTTTTTGGGGGGAGGGGGAGTCACACCCAAAAACACACACAGAAGTTACTCCTGACTCTTCACTCAGGAATTACTCCTGGCAGTGCTTGGGGGACCATGGGATGCTGGGAATCAAACCCAGGTCAGTCGGGTGCAAGGCAAAAGCCCTACCCGCTGTGCCATCGCTCCAGCCCCCGATACTGGCACTTTTAACGTTTACTTGGTCCATAAGTACATGGATGATGTTCTAAACTATTTTAAAAAAATAATAAATTCAAACCCTTACTCTTATAAACTGGTTTATATTATAAACTGGTTATAGCTCATAAACTGGAATTTCTTCAAAGATGGACGCTATTATCTTCTTTGCCTTTCCAAAGGATAATATGGGGTGGGGGGCAGAATCAGACAGGAACTCACAACAGAGATGAGAAACCTAGCAACCTAGAAGATGAAGGACATCTAGAAGAGCTGGTGGAAGGTGAAGAAACCAAAAGCTGCAAACGGAATGGTGAATATGTATCTCACCTGAGCTCTGGAAAGAGGTTCAGGATCTAAGAGCGGGCTGCATATCAGGAACCTGAGCACTCACTGGGAAGGTGATGAAGGGACCCCGCACCCTCACCCCGAGAGGCATCTGCAGATTTATTCATGGGCTAAGAAGAGAATTTGGGGACACTCAAATTGGGTAGGCCTAAGGTATCAAGTCAAAATAGAAAAACTCAAGAAACCTAGGTTGAATTGCTAGTGTCAACATGTCCCATTTTGTTCTGGGTTGGAAGCTGGACATTTCTCCCATGAAAAAAGTGGAAGTCCCCTCAAGACTCCCACACATACCAATTTAAAACTCCCCTCAGTGAAAGACAGAGGATGCTCTGGCTGGCGAGCATCTAAGTGCAAGGGAGAGCCACATGTGGACGAGACATGAAATGTAAGTGATCATGTAAGTGATCTGCTGCTCCCTGCCTAGCCAGTCTCCGAAGAGTCAGAGCGTCCAGCATCAACGTGCTGATGACTGCTAGTTCTCCTGTAACTGGACTTGCATTTTTTTCCAATTACTTTTCATCTCTTGGCCGCTTTTTGATCTTTGTTGGTCACTTTTAACTGTCCTCTCCAACCCCTCAACCCCTACACTGGGGATTCCAGTGGGGTGTCAGGATGGCCGCTGGGGAGTTGACTCTTAGTCTCACACTTTGCCGTGGGTGCTTTGTAAGCCACTGAACCATCAAACAAAACAAACACTGTCCTCCCGTTGAATGTTCATCGATTTGCTCGAGCGGGCCCAGTAACGTCTCCATTGGAGACTTTGTTGTTACTGTGTTTGGCATATCGAATACATCACGGGGAGCTTGCCAGGCTCTCCGAGAGGGGCGGAGGAATCGAACTCATGTCAGCCATGTTGGCTGCGTGCAAGGCAAACGCCCTACCGCTGTGCTATTGCTCCAGCCATGTGGATTATTCTTGCCTGGGATGTCAAACTGAAGGGCTGTCACGATCACCTCCCCTGAAATGGTGGCGGGCCTGGGGTTTGAATTCCTGCTTTGAGTTGGCCAGGTAGGCACTTTAAGCCACGGAACTGCCTTTCTAGGGCCCTCAAAAATCTATTTCGGTAATGCTCAGGTGAGGGCAACACAATTTCCCACTGATAACTATGTGAGCTGAGTAACGTTTAGAGAACACTTGGGGGCCGGGAAGGAAATTGGGGACACCAGTGGAGGGAAGTAGACACTGGCAATGCGAAGGCTTTGGAATATTGTACATCCGAAACTCAATGATGAATTACACTGCAACTCTGTATTCACAGTGACTCATTAACAATACTTAAAAAAAAAAAGTAAAATCACACATGCAGATAGATGTAAAGAATGACAGGTGCTGTTTAGGGAGCTGGGGTTTTCTCTTACCTTTCTTTGCATAAGCGGCTGGAGCGATAGCACAGCGGGTAGGGCGTTCGCCTTAAACGCGGCCAACAGGGCCGACCCGAGTTCGATTCCTCCGCCCCTCTCGGAGAGCCCGGCAAGCTAACGAGAGTATTCGATATGCCAGACACAGTAACAACAAAGTCTCCAATGGAGACGTTACTGGGCCCGCTCGAGCAAATCGACGATCAACGGGAGGGCCTTTACCTTTTCTTTGCATAAAATGATTCTTCTTTTAATTTTAGGCACCGTGGTTTACAAAACTGTTATTAGGAGAGTTTTATACATGAAACATTCTAGTACCGCACATTCCACTGTCCACTTCCCTCTCTCCCCCTGTCCACATGGTAAACTACTGAAGACCAGTCCTATTTCTGTTGTCTTTGGGCATTTGCTATTTTCCTGTTACTTTATGTATCATTTCTTTATATATCATGAGATCGTTCTGTCTCTCTTCTAACTTCATTCAACGTGATCCTCTCCAGATCCATCCCCGTGAAAGCAAATTGCATGATTTCTCCCTTTCTTATAGCCAAGTAGTATTCCATTGTACCGCAGTTTACATTGATTGACTTGTGTCTATTAAACTATCTTCACATCTCCAGGATGAATTCCACTTGGTTATTAGTGTATAATCATTTTGATGTGTAGCTGGATTCAGTTTGTTGATGTTTTGTTGAGGATCTTTGCATTTATGTTTATCAGGGATATAGGTCTACAGTTTTCCTCTTTTGTGATGTCTCTGCTTTTGGTAGCAGGGTAATGTCTGTCTCACAAACTGGGAGGATTCCTGTTTCTTCCGCTTCTGAAGAGGTTCATCAACTTCTAAAAGCCTGAAAAGGATCAGGAGCAGGTCTTCTTTAAAGGTCTGGAAGAACTCACAGTGGTATTTTATTTTATTTTTTGGCTTTTTGGGTCATACCCGGCGATGCACAGGGGTTACTACTGGCTTTGCACTCAGGAATCACTCCTGGCGGTGCTCAGGGGACCATATGGGATGCCGGGAATCGAACCCGGGTTGGCTGCATACAAGGCAAACGCCCTACCCCCTGTGCTATCACTCCAGCCCCACAGTGGTATTTTAAGTCACGTGAGGGGTAAGACTGCCAAAACCCTGACTGTGTCTTTCGTGGGCTGGAATGGTCAAGGAGAATGTTCTCGAGTTTTACATAGTATAACTGCAAAATTTTGTTTTGGGGCCACACCCAGCTGTGTTCGGGGTTTATTCTTGGCTTTATACTCAGGGATCACTCCTGACACGGTGTGCCAGGGATTAAGCCTGGGTTAGGCGTGTGCAAGGCAAGTGCCTTACCTGATGCACTCTCTCTCCAACCCTGTATCTATAAAATAAGTATTCCATTTGCTAATCTTTATGGACAAAAGGAAGGACTTGAAAAGCCCCAAATATTGCGTTCATAAACTAACTATAGCCTTATAGTGCTGCCAGTCTGCATTTTCTTGAAACTTATTGAAATTGGTGTCCTAAAACAAATTCCACATGAGGGTGTGGAGGCTTCCCCATACCGTCAATTTTTGGATATTAACAAGTTGCTGAAGGCAGGGACCTCATGGGAAGGGGGGCTTTGTGGGCCGTCCCCCACGCCCCACCGAGGTCGCCAGCTGCCCCCCACGAGCGGCTCTCCGGCACGGCCACGGCCCTGGAGGCACAAGGACTTAGCACAGAGAACCAGCCGCTTGGAGCAGAAAAGCAAATGGACTATGTGTTAAACCGCGCCACCAAGCCTGCCCGGAGGGGAAAGGGTGTTGACCGGCCCGCCCGCTCCTCTCTGGAAAGAAAGATGGCGGCCGCACGGGAGCCTTGTGGACAGCAGGTTTGAGCCGGGGTTGGCGGGAGCGGCAGGGACCTCACGGGAAGGGGGGCTTTGTGGGCTGTCCCCCACGCCCCACCGAGGTCGCCAGCTGCCCCCCACGAGCGGCTCTCCGGCACGGCCACGACTCCAGGGCACAGAAACCAATCTCTTAACTATCTAACTTTTAATAGAAATTCTTCCAGGGTCAATAAGTAAAATAGCAGAAATTCAAAACCGCGTGGCCGCTATTGCGGCCGCGCGGCATCATTTTATTCTTAAACCAAGTTGTAGAAAGCAAATCATTTCACAACGCTGTTTCAGCATGTCTGATGGGGGGGGGGGGGGTCGTAAACTCTAAACAATAATTGTGCATCTTCTATCGAAACAATCTATCTAGTCAAAGTAGATAGAGTATTAACTAGAACTCATCTGCCTCACAAGAATTGGGAGGGGTGGGAGGTGGGGGTCTATTGGGGTTCGGGGTTAAAAATAAGTATTAGTAAAGGGAAATGTGTTTGATATTTACATGACTGAGACCTAAACCCGAAAGCTCTGTAACTTTTCCCACAGTGATTCAATAAATAAATAAATTATAAAAAAAAAAAAAAGAAAAAAAAAAAAAACAAGTTGCTGAAGAATTCAACTCAATCCAAACACTGCTACTTGGAGATGCCATCAGATTTCACTTGCTGAGGGCTATCTCCCAAGACCACCCTCCACTCAGTCGCAAACCCAGTCTGTTAATTGTACTTCAGATATTGCCAGGAAATTCATGCTTGAGTTTGCTTTGGTTTTTGTTTTGATCAGGGAGATGGAAGGCTTGGGCCACACCTAGTGGTGATCAAGGATTACTCCTGGCCCTCTCAGGGTACCATATGGAGTGTCACAGATCAAACCTGGGTTGGCTATGTGCAAGGCAAACACCCTATGCACTAATAACTTTTCTAGAGTGGCTCACAGAATTCAGAAAGCCTATTCACAACCCCTTCAGCGAACCCACTTTGGCTACAACTGGGATCTGAAGGTGCTAGTAAATGACACTGGGGTACCGGGAATCCTGGCACTCCAGTGATGGGCAGGTTGGCAGCACCACCTATATTTAAAAAGGACAGTGTTAAGTCCTAGGCACTTCAGTGATAGCAAAGGTACAGTACATCGTACATCAAAACCACAAAAGTTAACACTATTTAACCATGTCACTGAACCACACAAGTAAAGCAGGTTTTCAACCATAAAACACAGCCTATTGGGAACAAAAGGTGTGGAAAAGGAGTGTGGAGTCTCTATCTTGTTTCCTCAAATCTTCACCTTCAAAAGCCCAGCTCCTAAAGGCCCTCCTTTTTCATTTTAGGGGCCTCATTATATAGGCACCCCTAATTCTATCACTCGCTATTAGTAACTGCCTTCAATCTCCAACCCCTCAGCAACCCCCCAGGTCTGAGGGCAGGAGTGGACACTGCACCCTTCAGTCACATGATTGTAATTGGGGAAACCAGCCCTGGTCCTGTGGAGTTTCCAAAAGTTCCTTCCTTACTCAAGACACCTTCCTCGGGCCTGGCACTGGACATTTCCAAGGTTTGGGGGTACTATGAACCAAGGAACTCCGGGTGACCAAACACATAACCTGTACATCAAAGTATCAAAGCTTTCTGCCACTGTGCAACCCTCTTCACCCCCAGACTTAGAACTCTCTGGAGTTCCAGAAGCAAAAGCAGACAAGCATGCGGCTTGCTATTTGGAGGCCGACAACCCCTTTACCGAAGGCACTTTGAAGCATTCTTTTAGCTTTGACTGGGCCAGGGAAGCATGTACTGATAAGGATCCCAGACTCCAAACTGGAAGCACTGGTCAGCGGGAGAATGTGCAAAAGAACCTCCTGGAAGCAACAAAATATATCGCTTCAAACCTGTGTTCATCAACAGTTGGCTAGATAAAAAAAATATATATATATATAGTAATGGGCCAGAGAGATAAAGTAAGGTTTTCGCATTGCATGAAGCCAACAAGAGCTTGCTAGGGCTTTAGGAGGGCTCACTATGGGTTGATCATTATACCACACTTGGCCTGGAGCACAGCCAAGAGTGATCCTAAGTGCAGAGTCAGAAGCAAAGCCCCAAACAAGCAAACAAAAAATAATGTAGTATCTATACATACTACAAACAAAAGATGATGCAGTAAATATATACAAAAGCATAAAAAGATGAAGCATAAAATGATTCATATTATGAATCATTCATAATATGAATGATTCTAGAGAGTATTATGTTTAATGAAATGTCAGAGGAAGACAAAAACGACATGATCTAACTCATATGTAACGTACATATAAATCCAACAAACATGAGCCAAATAAAACAAAAATAAACTTTTAGAGTACATGATTAAATCAGAGAGGGGGAATTGGGTGAGTAACCTGGGAAAACGGTCAACCACAGAGGCCAGAATGATAGTACAGCAGGTAGGATACTTGCCCTGCATGCAGCCAATCCGGGTTCAATCCCTGGCACCCCATAAGGTTCCCTTAGCATTCCACAAACTGCTGGGCACAGAGCCAGGAGTAAATCTTGAGCACTGCTGGGTGTGGCCCCAAAACCAGGGGGAGGGGAGTACCCGACATACACACAGTCAACCATATGACTAAGTACAGTATGGGATTTCATGGTGAAATTCATGTTGTCTAAATACATGGTTTATAATGACGCACACCTGTAATGCATGTTATACAGCACTGCTATTTTAATAAGAAAATTATTCAACAAACAGATTTCTCACTTTCTTAGAGTAAGAAACTGGAATGAAGAGGGTGTAGGTGAACGAACTTCCCACCCTAGCAACAAGAATGAAGTCCAATACATAATGTGACCAGCCAACTCACATCGCATTCCAGAAAACTGAGTACTTTTCAACTATGTCCCACCAACGCACATCAAACATTAAGGAAAGCCACCCCAGAAAATAAACAGACACAGACTCTGATGTGGTACACAATGTTCTATACAGCCAACTCAGGTTCAAACTCCAGCACCATACACGGTCCCCACCCCAGCCCCGTGTGGAGTGATCCCTGAGCACAGAGTCAGGAGCAAGCCCTGGAAACAGCTGGGCGTAACCTAAAAGCCCCCTTCCCCACTCACAAGAAAGGAAAACTTCCCTTGCCCGACATCAAATAGGAAGCGTACAGTAAGTGAGGTTTCCTGTGCGTCCCTGCCACTGTAATAGGCATGGCTCCTGTATCTTTGTTTTCATATTTCTAGGCAACTGTTAAAAAATAAAAAATGAAGAACAGGGTCAAATGCACAGAGTCTGGGGACATTCAAGGAAACAGGAGCTTTGGTTTTGTTTTGTTTTTTTTGAAAAAATAAACTGATTCATACTCTGGGAGAGATAGTTAGACTGGGCATCTAATAAGAGCATAAAAACGTGTAAGGCTCAGGATATAACTCAGCAGGGCACTGGAGATGCATTCCTGAAGGCCTGGTTTCAGAAAGAAAGAAGGGAAGAGTGGAAGGAGGGAGGAAAAAAGTAGAAAAGACAGAATAAAGAACGCACAGGAAAGAATGAGAAATGAGAACTAAAAAGTTTAATAAAATGACTAGAAAAAAAGAGATCTTTCTTAACTTAGAATATTATGAGATTCAAAATTTTACTAACACACATTTCAGAACTGCAGTAAATAACTAGGGGAGGGTTACCAACATCTGCCAGAAATGAAGAGCCTGGATCCTTCCAAATCCCCTAATAAAAGCAGATCTATTCCAAGGAGTATCTTGTAAAATTTGAGATTCCCTGGAAGACTGAAAGAGAGGCAAAATTTCAGAAAAAACTGAGAAATGGAATGGCACCAGCCTTACCAGTGGCCACCCTCTAAGCCACAAGGCCAAGTGGCACCTGTTGTCATTCTCAGAATATACATAGCAAAGTACAAGCAACTCCAAAATGCAAGATCAAAACATTCAACTATGTTCCTTTTCTTAGAAATATATTCGTGAATGGCACATAGCACCAAAAAAAAACACGACAAAAACAAAAAACCCAGTAAGTAAGGTAAGGCAGAAAAATATAGAATTTGACCCAAGTAATGGCATTAAAATTACACAGTGAATAAGACAATGGAAAGAAAAACAATGAAGAAAAAAATCATATATGCAAAAAAATACAAGGTGCTAAAGAAAATCTCATACTCTACCAAAAAGGTAAATTGATCAGAGTATTCATGATTCTGGGCGACAGCACAGATAGCACAGCGATAGCACAGTGGGTAAGGCATTTGCCTTACACGTGGCCGACCCAGGTTCGATTCCTCCGTCCCGCTCGGAGAGCCCGGCATGCTACCAAGAGTATCCCACCCGCACAGCAGAGCCTGGCAAGCTCCCCGTGGCGTATTTGATATGCCAAAAAGCAGTAACAAGTCTCACAATGGAGACATTACTGGTGCCCGCTTGAGCAAATCGATGAACAGTGCTACAGTGCTAGTCATAATTCTACATTATTTTCTACTTAAACAATCATGATATATACAGAATACTAACTTATCTACAATGCTTATACAACTATATGGAAGAATGAAGAAGAACAACTGTGGGGGTTACATGTCTAATATTCATTTGTCATTTGAAGGAGGCAATTTGGACTTAAAGTTTAAATTATTATTCAATAGAAACATTATTTCTAAATATTCAATTTTAAATTTTTAACCAACAGTGTAGTTTTTTGAAATCGTTATTTTTTGACAGTTAAAGAAAAAAAAGAAACCAATAAAATGGATGCCAACTATTACAGAATTCCAAGCCTTCATCTCTCTGTCTTGGTTCTTTATATACAAGATGCTGCTTACTCAGCGTGCTCTGCTCTTCATTTTTTCTCTTGTTCTTTTTCCAGGTCTCTTCTACAGAAAAAGAAAGGTCACATGTGGTCACAGAACACACTAGGCTTCTGCCCCAGGAGCAGGGTACAAGGAAAGGAAAAGGGAACAGAGTAAGAGCAGGGGGTCACCGAGCCCTTCACTTACATTGGATCCTTTCTTCCCAGGCCTCTTCAGGCCCTTGCCATGAGCTTTCTTGGCCCGGAAGCCGGATACATCATCATAACTCTCTCGCGTGTTCCACTTGGAGCCTTTCTTCTTTCCGCCAAAACCAAACTTTTGATTTTTATAGCGTCGTTTGGCATTGGGACTGCAAAAAAAGCGATCTTGCAGGTTAACCCAGTACCATAAACACCGAGGAAACTGAAAGACCAACAACATCCCTAGTCTTCCAAATACAGTTCCCAGAAGCTCACCCGTGGCCCTGTATTCTTAATCAACAAAGTCCCTAGGTGACATCGCCTTGTTACAGTCTTAAGCATTCGAGTAGGAAAACAAAGCTGAAACCAGGCAAGGATCCACATGTGGCCCATGCCTTCTGTCTTAACTTCAAAAAATATGACCTTATCTATTATTAGCACAGCGGGCAGGGCATTTGCCTTGCATGAAGCCGACCCGGCCTCGATTCCTCTGCCCCTCTCACAGAGCCCTGCAAGCTACCGAGAGTATCCCACCCGCACGTCAAAGCCTGGCAAGTTACCCGTGATGTATTCAATATGCCAAAAACAGTAACAACAAAGTCTCCAATGGAGACGTTACTGGGCCCACTCGAGCAAATCGATGAACAAGGGAGGACAGTGCAGTGCAATGCTAATCTTTAAAAGGCGCCTTCGGACTTCTCATTTTCATAGATGCAGAAACTAACTTGGGTCTCCTCACTTGCTCAAAGCCACCCTCTGAAGGAGTGGCAACTGCGGCCTGAAGTCCAGGCCAGTACTCGGCAACTTTTACTGAGCATCCACCTGAAATGTGCCTACTTCGGAAATCATCTTCCTTTAACTGTCTGCCTGATGCGGCTAAAAGGCACATGGCAGCTCTGGGAGTCCTGGAGGCAGACCCTGACATAACTATAGAATCGCCAGCCCTGCACACCCCCCGAATCAAACCCAAACCCTTCATACCCCTTCTTTGGCTGCTGGCCTTTAGTGCCCTCCTTCGGGTTCCGTGCGACAGGTTTCTGATCTCCCTCTAGGAAATCCAGTTTATCCGAGAAACCTGGGAGTGAAGAAGTTCTTGGATCAGTACCACCACGTTTAAAGAGCTTAAACCTCAAAAGAAGGCTGTTATGAAATACATCCATTTTAACAAGCAGGTTGTACTCCCCAGTCATTCCCAGAACCTAGGTCCAACTGTTCCAAACCAACAGGGTCCCAAGCCTTGCATCTGAATGAATTTTGAGGGAGTCTGTGCCAGCCAGTTCCCCCTGTGCTTGGAGAGACAAACTCACCTTTCTGGTATTTTTTAATGGTAGACATCATATGTGCTTTCTCCCGCTGCCTCTTCTGAAGGACCTCTGTTTGTACCTACGACAGAAACAGACTGTTGTTAGCACTCTCTAAGCGACAATACCGCCACTTAACACTCACTCTGTCCAACTATGCTAAGGCGCTAAGTACATTCTCTGTTCACCTTCACAGCAACCCACGAAGCAGAAATTCTCATTAGGGCCGAAAATGAAGCAGAGAGGCAAAGTATCACACCACTGTAACACAGGGACGAAGTATAGAACTGTGATGCTCACACAGACAGTTGGATTCCAAACTTGTACTCTGATTCCACTGCATAACCCTGCCACAAAACTGGAGCAAACCACGCCCAGTTCTGCATCCAATTCTCCTCCTCATCAGTGTGTGCACTGATACAACAGCTAATCTAGTGTTACAAGGCATGAAACTGCCAAGGGTTCTAGAGCTGCAATCCAGGATCAAAAAAATGTATTACGAAACAGACAGACAAAAATATGTATTAGATGGGGGCTGGAGCACAGGGGGTAGGAAGTTTGCCTTGCATGCGGCTGCCCCAGGTTCGATTCCCATAGGGTCTCCCAAGCACTGTTGGAGTAATTCCTGAGTGCATGAGCCAGGAGTAACCTCTGTGCATTGCCAGGTGTGACCCAAAAAGCCAAAGGAAAAAAGAAAAGTATTAGACAATTAGACCTGATGCCTGTGCCTGCTCTGAATACAAACTTTTTTTGGGTCATCACTGACTGCATAACATAGTATGACAACTACTTGCACAGTATTTACACTGTACTGGGCATTATAAGTAATCTAGAGATGACTCAAAGCACATTAACGGAACTCCCTGATTTATATGCAAAGCCTATGCCACTTTTAGGGACTTGAGAATCTGAGTATGCACTTATCTGGGGGGACTTGGAACCAATAATCAGACAACAAGAGCTATCTATATAAAAAAGACGACCTTCTTCCACCCCCGCCAAACAAAAACGGCTTTGACAACAAAAGATGACAAACATACTCTATGATAAGGTTCCTCTGTATCAACACTTCAAATAGGCAGCCCGATCCTCTATTGGGAAGTGCAGAACTTGTCCTGCACTTTAGAGGATATTCAACTGCTCTACCCACCCCCCACTCCCCCAACCCCCCCAATCTCCCCGCCACCCTACACCGTAAGCATCCTGCCTGCCAAGATACGACAACCGAAAATGTCTCCAGACGTTACCCAAGAACTAGTCACCTAAAGTTTCCTCAGATTAGAAGCAGTGGAAAGCAGGCCAAATTGAATTTATCTTTGCATCTGTTTAATAGGACGCCTAATCCAACCGCTCATGCCTTCAGGTTGATCTCAGTCACCCACCACGAGCCGGCCCTCTACAGAGCACAACATGCTCTCACTGCATTCTGCATGGAGCTCAGACAAAACTCCAACTGGGGACAGTAGCTCAACACCCCACATCAAGTTAAGCGTGATGGCCAAACTGCCAACGAAGTCGAGATGCCAAGCTGATCCTCCAAACTCGTTTCTTCCACAAAACCAAACTTTTCCTTGGATGTCCATAAAATAAACACAGAAACCAAGGAACATGTCACGGCCTGGCTCTCTGGTATCACAGGAGAACACAGGCAGTCAGAGCCCAGACACCAGGGGCATTCTCCTCTCAGGATCAGACAGCACGATGATCCTTCATCCTCAGCATCACTCCAGAAACCATGAGGAGGAAGGAAAGAGACAGACTCACAAAGATTCTAAAGCCCGGGAATCTGGGGACGGTACTGTGCTGTGAGGACAGATATGGAAGCCAGAGAACAGGCTTCGACTCTTCCGAAGTGTAAAGACGCAAACTAAAGGCAGAGTGGCGACTCACCTGTAGTGACCACAGTTCAGGGTTCACAAAGGTATTGAAGAAAAGACTGACACGTGATCCCCCAGAGCATGGAACCAGATCAGTGCACAGCAGTCTGGCCTGGCAAGCGCCCTCAGCCTTCTCTCCTCCCGTCCATCACCCTCCTCACCTTCTTTCCGTATTTCCGAAGTGCTCGCAGTTGCTTCGCCTTCTCGGATCTCTCCATGGCGACTTGCTTAGCCTGCAGCTTCAGTCGGATCTAAAACACAGGAAGGTCTGTTGGCGCATGTTATTTGAATCTGGGAAGGTCGCCCTTAAGGTAGGGTGCTACACTGCAGCTGGGGACAGAGAAACTCAGTTCTACAAACGGTGGTGGAAAACTTATGAATGGGCTTTACACCTGAGGACAACGCGCCCACAGGCTGAGCGCTTTGCACAAGACAGCAAGGGGACCAGCGTCACAGCTGGCACACCAAAGTCACCTTCCCTGCCTGTGGACTGTTAGCTCCTTTAGGTTTGTCTTTTTTGTTTTTGTTTTGGGGCCACATCTGGGCTCACTCCTGGCAGGGCTCAGGAGACCATATCTAGTGCCTGGGACAAAATCTGAGTCAGCTGCATGGAAGGCATCCTACCTGCGGGACTATCGCTCTGGCCCTGGACTGCTAGTTCTTTGAAACAAAAAGGTCTGTTTCAAAGCACAAATTAACTTCTGCAACTCTCAGTTCTCTTCTCCAAAAGGCCATAAACACAATCATAACCCAAATAGTGCCAGGAACCTTGCCTTTCCCCTCTCACATACATTTCAGTTACTGGACGAGCAAGTATGGGTTGAATGCATAGCTCGGCGCTAAAATAACTTCCCTAAATTCAACTGAGACCAGAGTTCACTACACTCTGAGATATTCAAATATATCTGGGATTTGATGCTGGCAATTATCAAATTCGGTGGAACTTGATTCCACAAATTCTTTTGTTTTCGGGGCGTTGTTTTGGTTTTGGGGCCACACCTGGCTATGGTCTGGGCTTAATCCTGGCTCTGTGTTCAGGAATCACTCCTGGCAGGGTTCGGGGGACAAAATGGGATGCCAGGACCAAGCAGATCGTGTGCAAAGCAAGTGATCTACCCTCTGTATTATCATTCTGTCCCCTAAACAACTCTAAACTACAGCTGAGATAGACGCGAACCTCTTGTTTTACTGCCGAGAAAACAGAAGTCAGCAGAAAATAACTGCCTACAAATTCTAAGTCTTCTACACAGCAGGTCACTAGGAAATGCAAAAGGCCATCCACAGTTCTAATAAAACATTCTCCCACTTGTTCAAATTAGGAAAAAGTCAACCTTACATTTATATGTATATAAGTGATACGTATATCACTTAGATACACATAAGTGATATGTGTATATAAGTATATATCACTTATACACTTGTATATATACTTGTTTATATACTTATACACTTATTATATAAGTATATACACTTGATATGTATATAAGCAACGTGTTTTTATGTATATAACTGAACTTACATTGTAAGTTCACTTACTGGTACTGACATATTTATGAAATTGACAGTGGAGAAAATAACTACCTTATTATTGTTCTAAATCCCTATTGAAAGGCTCACTTATACCTACTTCCTAAAAAGCACTCTAAGAGACAAACCAGATGAATCTACTTAAAAACAAAGTCTCAACTTTCCAGAGAAAGCCTTCACTGCTTCTTCTTACCTTCTGCATCTGCTGGTCAGTCTTGGCCATCTCCGCGAAATAATCAGTGGGCCGCTTGGTAGGAATTTTGAGCTGATGCAGACGGGGTAAGACTGCAAGCACTGCAGCTTGGGCCTGCCGGTAGCTGAAAACAAGGAGAGATGAGTCCTTACATTCCTTCTCTCTACCTCTCTCGAGTTATTATTCCAGGTCAGAAGGGCCTCAATAGCTGACCTCCACCAAGCACACGTAACATTGGAACAATTTCTCATTTATGTGGCATCCAGAAAACACAGAATTGCATATTCTTTTTTTAGAGGGGATGGGAGGATTCCTAAGAACAAATTAGCAGTTTGAGAGTCTGCCCAGAGATATAACTCTTTTTTTTTTTTTATGTAGGAGTATTGTTATTTATTCAACCATTGATTAGGCTGATTGAATTGGGCATGAACTCCACGAGACAGAACTCTTAACGTACAAACTAACACCAATTATGAATTTTAACACAGTCGCTCCAAGTCCATACAAAAACGCTTCCATCAGCAAATTTTTGTCCTAATAACTGGATGTGCACATCATACAAAAACCTAATTATTGGGGCTGGAGAGATAGCACAGCGGGTAGGGCGTCTGCTGTGCACGCCGCAGACCCGGGTTCAATTCCCAGCAATCCCATGTGAGCACCGCCAGGAGTAACTCCTGAGTGCAGAGCCAGAAGTAACCCTGCGCATTGCCAGGTGTGACCCAAAAAGCAAAAAAAAAAAAAAAAAAAAAAACCAAAACCACCAAAAACCTAATGATTTCAAAATCAACTGGATTCTGGCTTAGGACGATGGATCCAGGAGCTCTTCTCTTCACCAGGGCCAACGGATCCCGGCCCCTTCGAGGCCGCCTTCCTTCCTCCCGGGCTCGCTCTGCCCGGGCGGGCACGGGAGTCCCCAGACCCCTCTCCCACCCGGAGCCGAACACACAAGCTCATCTCCCGCTGGAAGTCGTCCTCTGGGTCAACAGCTTTCGGATCCTTGCTCTGCGGCGTCGACTGCGGCTCGCTGATTTCCGGCACCGGCCCCAGGGTCACGTCCAGCCTTTCGACCCACTCCAGATCCCGCTTGAATTCGGCCAGACAACGCTTCAGGCCGCTCTGGGGCAAGGAGACGGCGCTCTCAGAAGGGGGACACCGCCAGGCTCTCCCTCCAACGGGCAGACACCCGCCCCCAGCCAGCCCGAGCCCCCAACCCCCGCCGGTCCAGGGCCCCGGGCGCCCTCCCTGGGACACGTTCCTGGCGCGCAGCCCCCGTCTTCAGCCCGGGCTCACCACATCGTTCACCGCCTTCTTCGGCCCCTCCAGAACGACGTTGAGGCCGGGTTTCAGCAGTCCCTGGGAAAACGCATCCTGCAACTGCAGGACACGAGCCACGGTCAAGACCCAGCCCGTCCGGGCCCCTCGCCCGCGCCCGCGCCCGCGCGCTCGGCCCAGACCCACCTCTTGGTCCGCGACAAGAGACTCCTCGGACTCCGAGTCGGAGCCTGAGAGCGGGGGAGTGTCCATCACGCTGCCCGCTGCCCGCTGGCCGCCCCGCTGGGGCTCTCCTGGCCGCCGTTCGCGCACGTGGCGCACACCAACAGCCGCAAACTCCGGCGCTCTCAACGGTCCCGTCGGGACTTCCGCTTCCGGTCGGAGCCCCGCGCTTCCTGTTTGCGGTCGCCATAGCAACGGTGCCGGCGTGGAAAGCGTCCGGGTGGCTCCGGATCTGTAGGGGTTAGAGGCTCCGGATTAAGAGCGATCTGACTCCGAGAAAGGAAGCGAAGGGTGAGCAGGAATTCCTGGGACGGCGAGGGAGAGGCGGAACCGCAGGGAGTGGGAGCCTGGGTGGGGGGACGGCGCCGAAGGCGCGGGGGCGGGAGGAGGCGTGGCCCGGGGCGGAGCCAGGCAAGGAGGGGCGGGGCGGGCGGAGAGGGGCGGGGCCACGTGGGCGGGGCGGAGCCAGGCAGGGAGGGCGGGGCCAGAGAGGGGCGGGGCCACGAGGGTGGGGCGGGGCCGGGGCGGGGCCAGGCGGGCCGGGGCGGGGAGGAGAGGGGCGGGGCCACGAGGGTGGGGCGGGGCCGGGGCGGGGCAAGACCTTAGTGGCTCAGCCCAGGCGTTGCTCTTCCCCGCCCTCACCTGCAGCATCTTTCTCCGAGGAGAAGTCCTGGGCGCGGGACTATGTCGACCGTGGTAGCTCAGTCTCTGCATGTCTTTGGTCTTCGAGCCCATGTGACCAACAATGTCTTCTTCTTCGATGAGCAGATCGTTATATTTCCTTCAGGGAATTACTGTGTGAAGTACAATGTGGATCAGAAATGGCAAAAATTCATTCCAGGTAAAAACGAGCACTACGGAATACTTTTCATTACGACACACCCATATCAACCCAAATGTCAAGTAGAATCCCATAATCCCAAAGCAAAGATGGAAAAATAATGTTTTAGCTAATTCGAGTATACATGGAGATTTACAAATGCAGAGGAAATAAATGACTGCTTGTATTTTTTAATATATATGTATTAGCTCATCGTACATGCACAGTTATGAATCACAGGTAAAATGGAGCTTGTACGATAATACAGCGTTTAGGGTGCTTGCCTTGCACATGGTCAACCCGTGTTCAATTCCTGGTATCCCGTATGGTTCTTAGAGCGCCCCTGACATCCCATATGGTCCCCTGTGCACTGCCACGAGTGATCCCTGAATGCAGAATTAGGCATAAGCCCTGGACACTGTTGGGTGTGTTACAAAAACAAACAAGCAAAACACAGATAAAATAATGCTAGCTTAAAGGTAAATGTTTTTCCCAGGGTTGTCTAATAAGAAAAAAAAGGAGGTACTGTATTTTAATACTTCCTCAGTATCAGTGTCTTTTCCTCTTTGGGGTACTTTTTGAGTTAGACAGCACAGTTTTCCAGAATACATCGCCTTCATCATTGCATGTTTGGGGGAAAGGTGTAGATTTGGGCCATACCTAGGAAGTTGGGTTTACTCATGGCTCTGTGCTCAGAGATCACTCCTGGCTGAGCTCAGGGTACCATATGTAGTGCCAAGGACAGAATTAGGGGTGACTGCATGCAAAGCAATACCCTAACCCTTGTGCTATCTCTCCAGCCCTTATGATCACACATTTTTAATTCATGGAGCAATAGCACAGCAGGTAGGGCGTTTGCCTTGCACGCAGCCAACCCAGGTTCAATTTCTCCGTCCCTCTCGGAGAGCCTGGCAAGCTACCGAGAGTATCCCGCCCTCACGGCAGAGCCTAGCAAGTTCACCATGGCGTATTTGATATGCCAAAAACAGTAACAAGTCTCACAATGAAGATGTTACTGGTGCCCGCTTGAGCAAATTGATGAACAATGGGAAGACAGTGCTACAGTGTTGAAGATACGAGATTTTATCCCAGGTCACAATCACTTTTTGTATGCTAGACTTGCTTTGGTTCACATTAGTCCTATGATTACCACACGTAGTCACATTTTTTTTTTTGCCCACTTTTCATTGCCTTCACATGCTTTGTTGTGATAAAGTCATATAAAGTGAGATAATCTCCTCATCGGCCACCCTCCAGATCTCATGGCTGCTTCTCCCGGAAGGTAGCTAAAATGAGGCCCCCATAACCATGCCACCGGACTCCACGCCAGGCTGTTTTCACTCGGGATGCCCCAGAGGGGGGCAGGTGAGATCCCTCCCTGCCCCAAGGGAACAAGCCCCAGCAGCCGACCTCCACTACCCAACCAGCACCATGCTCCAGGCCACTTTCCACACACTTGGACCGAGGCTCACACATGAGTGAACATATTTCTGGACCGCGCAACACATCATAAGACACTCCCTATCCATTTTCCATAATTACCACACCATATCTGGTGGGGTTTAGACAGTAGACAACAAATCATATAGGGAAATATATATATATACATATATATATATATACACATATCTCGGAGAGCCCAGCAAGCTACTGAGAGTATCCCGCCCGCATGGCAGAGCCTGGCAAGCTACCCATGGCATATTTGATATGCCGAAAACAGTAACAGTAACAGGTCTCATTCCTTGACCCTGAAAGAGCCTCCAATACGGGAGCATTTGGAAAGATAGTAAGGAGAGGCTGCTAAAATCTCAGGGCTGGACTGAATGGAAACATTGCTGGTGCCTGCTCGAGTAAATCGATGAACAACGGGATGATAGTGATACAGTGATACTATATATAAAATATTTAAATACCAGTGATAAAATGAAGAAATATTAATCCATGCAGTTCAAGTAATCGCATATTAAAGATCCAGAGTTTCCACAACACCCAATAAGAGAGAAAGAACAAAAGTGAATGCCCTACCACAGAGGAAGGGTGGGATGCAGGGGATGGGGGTTGGGAGGGATACTGGGATCCATGGTGGTGGGAAATGGGCACTAGTGGAGGGATGGGCATTTGATCATTGTATAATTGAAACCCAAGCACAAAAATTTGTAAGTCTACAACTGTACCTCATGATGTCTCACTAATAAAAAAAACTATATCCATATATATATATGCATTTCCCAGTATGCATTGTTACATGGCAACCAATTAATTGATGTTCTTTAATATTTATTTTATATAAATCCTGCAGTATGTACAGTATTATTTCTATTTCATAATATAATATGACTCATAAAAGCTTAGAAAAAAAAGATCCAGGGTTTCTCCATGATTGCATTATTTTGTTTTGTTTTGGGATCACACTGGCAGTACTCAGGAGTTACTCCTGGGTCGGCCCTCAAGAATAATTACTGGTATCCTCCCAGGATGGGAGAAGCATGCTGAAAGTAGACTATAGAGCAAACATGATTGTCACCCATTGCCTCTTTTGCAAATCACAACACTCAATAAGAGAGAGAGAGAACAAAAGGGAATGCCCTGCCACAGAGGCAGGGTGGGTTAGGGGGTTGGGGGGTGGGAGGAATACTGGGATCCGTGGTGGTGGGAAATGGGCACTGGTGGAGGGATGGGTATTTGATCATTGTATAATTAAAACCCAAGCACAAAAATTTGTAAGTCTACAACTGTACCTCATGAAGTCTCACTAATAAAAAGAAAAAAAAAAGAATAATTCCTGGTGGGGCTCAGAGTACATATGGGGTGCCAGGTATCAAATCTGGTTGACTGTATCCAAGGCAAACACTCAACCCACTGTGTCATCTAATTTGGTCCAGGATTATTTTTATTAACACACATAGTTTAGGTAAGATGGTCACAATATACTGTTAAAGTATATGGTATTGATGTACAAAATACCTGATGTACAGTGTGTACAAACTACACCACCAAAGTTTCCAAGATCCTCTTACCACTGTTGCTATATGACCTCTAGCTCAATCTTCCTCCTCCCTGCCCCCAGTGGTTGGTAGTCAGTTTTATATTCCAAGACTGAAATTTGTCATTGTTCAACATCGTCTATTCCCTTGTTTTGACTCTATATTCCACACGTGAGGGAAATTATCCAGTGTTTGTCCTTCTTCCTTTGCCTTATTTCACTTAACATAATACTCTTCAATTCTATACATATTGCAGTGAAACTGCATGATTTCATCTTTTTTATAGCTGCCTAGTATTTCATCATGCGTATACCTACCACATCCTCTTTATCCATTTATGGGTCATTTGGATTGTTTCCATTTCCTAGCTATCATAAGAAGTGCTATGATATACATGAGTATACATATATCTTTTCAAATTAAGATTTTTTTCACTTTGAAAGAAGATGCCAAGACTTTATTTTTTTTATTAAAAATTTTTTAAATAGTGAGACATCATGAGGTACAGTTGCAGACTTACACATTTTTGTGCTTGGGTTTCAATTATACAATGATCAAACACTCATCCCTCCACCAGTGCCCATTTCCTACCACCATGGATCCCAGTATCCCTCCCATCCCCCATCCCCCCCATCCCACCCTGTCTCTGTGGCAGGGCATTCCCCTCTGTTCTCTCTCTCCTTTTGGGTGTTGTGGTTTGCAAAAGAAACATTGAGTGGCAATCATGTTTGGTCTAAAGTCTACTTTCAGAGATGCCAAGACTTTATATTGGAATTCTATTCTCACTTTTATGGGGGGAAAAATCTTCTTATTGCTTTCCATAAAGATTGAATCAACAAACATTCTCACCAAATGTAGATGAGGGTTCCTTTCTCATCACTTCCTGATTGTATCATTCACACACACACACACACACTCACACTCACGTTCACACACCCCTTCTTAACTTTGTCAAGCATTTTCTGACTTTCCCATATAGTTTGTTCCATATTCTTAACCTTATGTACCATTTAGGTTTTTTTCTTACAATTTACTACCTACATAAATGTAATCATATTACAGCTATTCCATGACTACTTTTGTCAGCTTCTTGCTTTTGAGATTTGTGCATTTGCTATAGGAAGTTCCACTGTGTGATTTTCACATCTCATATGTGTGTATTCATTTTGGTATTGATGGACATTTGGGAGAAAGCAGGTCCTTTATATTTTTTAGCACAATACAATGCCACTGAAAACCTTCTAGAATTCTGTGTGTTCTTCTATCTACAGATATTCCCCAGGTCACACAACTAGG